CTCTGGAGCTCAAAACTTTCAACGCATTTTAGCGTTCTACTTTTTCTTCCCCTTTTACTCTTCTCCTATTCCACTCCTCTACTTTATCTTTTACAGCTCCCTCTCCCTCTCTTTCTGCTGATATTTTAGAGGTGAAAACATGTTTTTAATTTTTTAACTTTTGATTTCTTCATCTTCAAACTTCTTCTNCCTCTACTTTATCTTTTACAGCTCCCTCTCCCTCTCTTTCTGCTGATATTTTAGAGGTGAAAACATGTTTTTAATTTTTTAACTTTTGATTTCTTCATCTTCAAACTTCTTCTTCTCTTTGGTCTAAAGTCGCGTACCATTGCCGCCGGCCACCGTGCACGTCTCGCCGCTGATGTAGCTGGCGTCTTTGCTGCAGAGGAAGGCGACCATGCCGGCCACTTCCTCGGCGCGGCCGATTCTGTAAAAAGAGGTTTTTAGAATTACGATTCAAGGGCTTGAAAATTGCTCATTTTACCTCTTGATGGTCTGCAGCGGGAGAAAGCTGCCCGGGTAGTCGGGGCTGCCGGTGATGCTGACGGCAAAGTCCGTCTCAATCAGGCCCGGAGCGACGCAGTTGACGCGAATGTTGAGCGGGGCGCCTGGTAAAGCAAAATAGAAACAGAGTTTTAGAAGATCAAGATTTCGAAAAACCCATTGTCAAAATGGTCACTTACACTTTCCAGCCACTGCCTTGGTGAGGCCGAGCAGGGCGGTCTTCGAGATGGCGTAGGCGGCCATCCGCTCCGAGAGGTTTTGCGCCCCCTGGTACATGTACCCGGAGGCGCTGCCGATGTAGATGATGTTGCCGNCTGCAGCGGGAGAAAGCTGCCCGGGTAGTCGGGGCTGCCGGTGATGCTGACGGCAAAGTCCGTCTCAATCAGGCCCGGAGCGACGCAGTTGACGCGAATGTTGAGCGGGGCGCCTGGTAAAGCAAAATAGAAACAGAGTTTTAGAAGATCAAGATTTCGAAAAACCCATTGTCAAAATGGTCACTTACACTTTCCAGCCACTGCCTTGGTGAGGCCGAGCAGGGCGGTCTTCGAGATGGCGTAGGCGGCCATCCGCTCCGAGAGGTTTTGCGCCCCCTGGTACATGTACCCGGAGGCGCTGCCGATGTAGATGATGTTGCCGCCGCCCCGTTTCACCATGTGCGGCACAATGTCCTTGGAGAGGGAGAAGGGCGCGATGAGGTTCACGGCCAGAATCTTAAGGAAAGGGAAAAACCATTAGAAACAAGGTGAAAAAGAATGTAAACAAAGCAAAAATCGTACCTTTTCAAAGACCTCGTCCGACGTTTCGAGGATGTGGCTCTTTGCCGGGTTGACCGCCGCATTCGAGACAAAGATGTCGATGCCACCAAAGTGTTTTAGAGTCTTTAAGCAAAAGAGAGTTGAAAGATAAGTTAAAGGTCAAATTGGAAAGAAGGAAGGTGAGTCTCTCTTACAAAGTCGAGCAGCGCACTTCGCTGCTCCTTGTTCCCAAC